CACACTTCAGATAGAGCCCTAATATCCAGAGTATACAAAGAACTCAAAAAATTAGACAATAAGAAAACAAACAACCCAATCAACAAATGGGCCAAGGACCTGAACAGACACTTCTCAGAGGAGGACATACAATCAATCAACAAGTACATGAAAAAATGCTCACCATCTCTAGCAGTCAGAGAAATGCAAATCAAAACCACCCTAAGATACCATCTCACTCCAGTAAGATTGGCAGCCATTATGAAGTCAAACAACAACAAGTGCTGGCGAGGATGTGGGGAAAAGGGTACACTTGTACATTGCTGGTGGGACTGCAAATTGGTGCAGCCAATTTGGAAAGCAGTATGGAGATTTCTTGGAAAGCTGGGAATGGAGCCACCATTTGACCCAGCTATTCCCCTTCTTGGTCTATTCCCTAAAGACCTAAAAAGAGCATGCTACAGGGACACTGCTACATCGATGTTCATAGCAGCACAGTTCACAATAGCAAGACTGTGGAACCAACCTAGATGCCCTTCAATAGATGAATGGATAAAAAAAATGTGGCATTTATACACAATGGAGTATTACTCTGCATTAAAAAATGACAGAATCATAGAATTTGCAGGGAAATGGATGGCATTAGAGCAGATTATGCTAAGTGAAGCTAGCCAATCCCTAAAAAACAAATGCCAAATGTCTTCTTTGATATAAGGAGAGTAACTAAGAACAGAGTAGGGACGAAGAGCATGAGAAGAAGATTAACATTAAACAGGGATGAGAGGTGGGACGGAAAGGGAGAGAGAAGGGAAATTGCATGGAAATGGAAGGAGACCCTCAGGGTTATACAAAAGTACATACAAGAGGAAGTGAGGGGAAAGGGAAAAATAATACAAGGGGGAGAAATGAATGACAGTAGAGGGGGTAGAGATAGAAGAGGGGAGGGGAGGGGAGAGGAGGGGGGATAGTAGAGGATAGGAAAGGCAGCAGAACACAACAGACACTAGTGTGGCAATATGTAAATCAATGGATGTGTAACTGATGTGATTCTGCAATCTGTATATGGGGTAAAAATGGGAGTTCATAACCCACTTGAATCAAAGTGTGAAATATGATATATCAAGAACTATGTAATGTTTTGAACAACCAACAATAAAAAAAAAAGAAACACAAACTCCTTCACCCTCCTTTCAGATGTTACAGAGAGAGAGTAATTAAAAGGCAAGACCCTTCCAGAACTGCCAGGGACCTTGAAGAGCAATGAGCACCCTTCCTACATCCAGGTGGGGGTCATGTGACTGAATTTTGGCCAATAGAGATCAATAGAAGTATTGTTTATCATTCCCAGCCCTGGTTCAGGAAAAGTTGTCGCACTTCTTGCATGAATCCTGTCATGTGGATGTCAGCAAAACATCTTGGAAGCTACATGTTGAAATAGACAGAGCTTCTTTCAGCCTGGATCTCTGAAGATTGGAGCTGTGAAGATGAATGGCGGAGGTGGCCAGTTGGACTTGATGTCAGTAAGAAGTTAACTTCTGTGCTAAACCCTTGAGATGTCGGCAGCTGTTGTAGCAGTTCGTGCTAACACTACCAACTCTGAATTCGTTGCTCTTGCAAAAATTGTCATTATTACTAGCAGGGTCCTTGGAAGGGGGAAAATGTTCTGGGGACAAATGCCAGAGGCCACATGGAGAAGAGCATGGAATGTGGAATCAAGTGCCTAATTTGAATGCCTTATTTAACCTCTCTGTATTTCACTATTTTTCCTGGATGAAAAGGGGATGACCAATAACACCTACTTTCTGGGCTTAGGTTAATTTATATAAATAGTTGAAAGCACTTAGCCCGGTTACACACTTCTGCACTTCACACTGTTACACAGTTCATGATACGTTTACAATTCTCTAGTTTTCCAAATATCCTTCTTGACGTGAAGTTTTTAAAATGGTTTTCTACAATACAATCTTTTAACCTTCTGTTCTGCTATTTCTGCCTGACCCCCGAAGGTGACTTTAGCACTTTGGATGTGCTTTCATTGCAATATGACTTTGTCCCTGTACATAAGAAGTTTTCAGAGTTTGCTCTACTCTGGGATACTTTGGCCCTTTTGGATTTAGGGTATGTTAGCTCTAGGTGGATCATTAACTTTAGAGGAGAGGTCACCCCGGACCCTGTTGGTTTTTGTCCACAGGCCAACAGAGGAGATTACTCAGCCTACTTTTGAGAATTTTTTTGTCCTTTCATTCATCTATTTGATAATCTACTTTCCAATTTAGGATTAGAATATTGAACAAGAAAATAGTGGCATCCATCCTCATAGACCCTGTTTTCTCAAGGGAATGAACAAGTGGAGGAAGAACCAGAAATTACATTATGAGCCACTTCTGGGCACAAGGCAGGAGGCATCAGGGTTCGCCTGAGCCCAGCTGGGGTGCAGAGAAACCATCAGCTTATGTCAGTCTTGGGGCTGGAAAAACACAAGTGGAGACAAGATCCCAGTAAGAAGGGAGGTGCAGAGAAATGAACTTGACAAAGGGACTGGGTACAATTGAGATTTCCATGAAACGAGAGATAAAGAAGAAACACCATGATTTCCTGGTAAATGGTGGAACAGGAGAACATGATGCTTAAGTGAAATAAACCAGTCTCCGAAAGTCAAGGGTCAAATGTGTTTCTCTCATGTGCAGAAGTGAGACCAAAATAAGGGGTAAAGGGGGGAGGGACATGAATCCCATGAAAATAGAAATCAATGGAGTAGAAGAAGGGGATTGGGGGGGAAGGAGGAGGGACTGGAAATGGGAGGAACGGTGGAATGGAATTGGCCAAACTAGTCTATGTACGCAGATGAATATACCACGGTGAATTTCACCTTTACATGTGTCTATAAAGCACTAATTTTTAAAAAAAAACTATAAATAAATAAGAAGGAAGACCAGTAGAGGAAAAGGAACAGGGGGGAGGGAGGAGAGGAGGGAAATTACTGGGGACTGCATTGGAGCAAATTATATTCCATGCTTGTATAATTACATCAAAATAAACCCCAACATTATGTATAACTATAAAGTACTAATAAAAAAGGAATAATGCCATGCCCCAGAGAGGCCCCAGTAAGTACCCCAGGTCTATTCATTTCCTATAACGGTTGTACTGAAGTAGCACAAACTTCTCATCAGCTACAGATTTGAAGGTCAGAAGTTTGAAATTGGCCACACTGGGTTGCCATCAAGATGTCAGCAGGGGACTGGGGTTGTGGCTCCACGGTAGAGTGCTTGCCTAGCAAGTTTGAGGCACTGGGTGTGAAATCCTGGGTTTGATCCTTTATAAAGAAATAAATAAAATAAAGGTGTAAAAATTAAAAAAAAAAAAGAGAGAGAGAGAGAGAAGATGTCAGCAGGGCTCTGTTCCTTTTGGGAGGTTCTGCAGGAGACTGTCTCTTGCTGTTCCATCTTTAGAGATGCACACATTTCTTGGCTTGTGGCCCCATCCTCTTCAATCTTTGGAGCCAGAGATGAGAGAATCTTTCTAACGTTGTACCACTGAGATGCTACCCACTCACCCTCCACATTTTACAAAGGACTTTGTGGTTATAGTAGGTTATCTGGTTAATCACTCAATTCCTTCCTTCCTTCCTTCCTTCCTTCCTTCCTTCCTTCCTTCCTTCCTTCCTATACTGGTGATTGAACCAGAGGTGCTTAACTACACAGTCACATCCCCACCCCTTTTTATTTTTATTTTTATTTTTTTATTTTGAGATAGGGTCTCACTCTAGCTGCTGAGTCTGGCGTGGACTTGGGATCCTCCTGCCTCAGCCTCTGCAGTTGCTGGGATTACAGGTGTGCACCACCACACACAGCACACAGTACATTTCTAAATAAATCACGAGTTGAATAAAAAAGTCACAATGAAAATGAGAATATCTGTATGTTTGTTTTGGAGATAGGAACTGGCTAGGCTGGTCTAGAACTCTTGGGTTCCAACGATCTTCCCACCTCAGCCTCCCAAAGGGCTGGGACTACAGGTGCGCATTACACCCAACCAGAATCTATTTTGAAGTGAATAGTCGTAAGGTTATAACGTATCAAGAAAAAAGAATTCTTTGGGGAAATTTATAGCCTTCATCACATAGAGTGGAAGAGAGGCTGAAAAATCAATGACCTTCCCCGGGGCACAACTGCTTAGAGGAATCTCACAAAGGTAATCTTGAATCAAAAAAGCCAAATACAAGACTGTACATATGGTAGGATTCCATAGCTGTGAAATTAAGGCGTATGTTGTTAGAAGCCAAAACAACCCGCAGGAGAAGAGATGGGTGGTGACAAGAAGGGCCCCCACAGGCTGGCTGTCCCAGCTCTGCTGATGTTCTGTTTCCTGATACCCGGACTGCTTGTGCCGGTGCGTTCACCCAGTGATAATTAATCACACTGTACACTTAGGTTATGTGAAGTTTTATGCACGTGATCCACACTTTAATAGAAAGCTTTTTAAATTTTACTTAAACTTAGCTGACTGTCCTCAGGCAGAAGTCACAAATCTGAGGAAGGTCGAGCTGCAGCAAGGTAGCAGCTCTCCAGTGGGTCCGCGCTCCACCTGACTTTGACCTCTCAGCACAAGAGGGATGCAGGGGCAGTGCCATTTAGGGACGCTTCCAGGAGGACCTTGGAGTGGTCTACGTGGACGCTTTGTGAGTCTGAGAATTCCCATAAAATGTGTGCGAAACGTTGTGTATATGTGGGCACGCTTTCCTGAAGGAAGGGGCCACCGTTTTTCATCCTGAGGATGTCCCCCAGCCTCTAGGAGTCCGTGGCTTTTGAGACCTTTAGGAACTGCTAGATAAGGGTGGGACAGGCTGCTGGGCCGCTGCCCCGGGGGAGGAAGAAGGGAGTGGCGATGGCCCTGTGCCCAACCTTTCGGAGTAGGCGGATCCACCCGGCTCCTGGGCTGGTAGAGCAGGCAGGACCCAGGCTCGGGGTGCAGGACCCAGGCTCGGGGTGCCAGACCGTGTCGCGCGCCCGCAGCGGAGAATGAGGCTCGCTATCTGCGCCCTGCTGTGCGCGGGGGCCCTGGGTGAGTGCGCACCGGGAACCAGAGGAGCGGCCTGCTCTGGAGGGTGGTCTGCGGAGGGGACCGGGTGACAGACAGCAAGGGTCAGCTACAGCGGAATCCTACAGCCTGTGGGCCAAAGGGGGAGAAAGATATCACTCTTGAATGAATCCAGCTGCCTCTCTCACTGCTGTGTGACTCTGGGCTGACCTCTCTGTGCTGGTAAACATTGTCCTTTCACAACACAGAGTTGTGAAAAAGCGAAAAGGGTGTCTGGAGGCAGGTAGAGGTCCAGGCATAGGTGAAAACCCTGCACAGAAATGCCAGAGGGAGGAGGGAGGGCTCTTCCAGGGCCCTTGGCTGGGCGACTAACTGTGAGGAAGAGCCTCAGGTGAGAGCCCTTGGGGCTCAACAATTGCAGCTTCTGTCCTCCGGGAGTCCTGTCCGGTCTCAGGCTGTCATCAGTAAGTTTCTGGTTAGGGCATCTGACTTGGGGGAGGGGTGACCCGGGCCGGGCAGAGCAAGGGAAGGGCAGGTGGTGTGCGGGACCCCTCCCTGGCCCTGAACTGGCCACATGAGGTCACACAGGGAGCCCAGCTCTGGCTGGGACCCGGCAGGCTGGAAAGGTAGCCAACGAGGTGACTCAGCTGGGTACCGCTCCTGAGCAGGGCCTGTGGCATTTGTCCTTCCTCTGACTCCTCTCCTGGCAATGCCAGGCACTGACCAAAAGTTCAATTCCCCAACTCGCTGTGTTTACAAATGGGAGATGAGAGACGTCCCTCTGGGCTCCATCCCCGCAGGGCCACTGGGTCAGGAAGGAGCCTGGGATGTATCTTCCTCAAAGCTCAGCTTTCCAGTTTAACAGGATGACGTTGTCCTTTGTGGCAAATGACCAAGAAGCAATCCAAGTGGCTTAAACAGAAAAGACTGAGGGGAGAGGCATATGGCCTGCCTTTGGGGCTCAAGAGCTTCCTCTACCTAGTGAGCAGGTGGCCACCAGCAACTTTCTTTTCAGTCTGAAGACTTCTTCTTAGCAGTGGCTAATTGACCTTTCTTTCAATGATCAGATAGCGAGGGGTAGGGTGCTGTTAATGACCCTCCTGGGTTCCTGGACTCCAGCCACCCTTTGCTGGCTTACCCAGGTTTTCTTTCTCTTTCCTTTAAAAATAATTTCTTCTTTTTCTCTTAATTCTTTGTTTTGGTACCAGGGATTGAACCCAGGGGAGTTTAACCACTGAGCAACATCCCCAGCCATTAGATTTTTTTTTCAAATGTTTATTGGTTCATTTTAGTTATATATAATATTATAGTTTCTTTTTTAAAACATATTTTTTAGTGTTGATGACCTTTATTTTATTTGTTTATTTTTATGTGGTGCTGAGGATTGAACCCAGTGCCTTACACATGTGAGGCAAGGACTCTACCACTGAGCCACAACCCCAACCCCAATATTATAGTTTCTTAACATAATTATAAGAGCATGGAATATAATCTGCTCTAATTCAGCCCCAGTTCTTCCCTTTTCCCTCACCTCCTCCCTCTCTCTTCCCTTTCCTCTACTCTATTGATTTTCTATTTATTTATAGTCTTTACATTTTTTTTTACTCATTCCTAATCCTATCTCCCCTCCCTTTCCCTTCATTCCCCTTTGTCTAGTCCAATGAACTGCTGTTCTTCCCTCTCCTCCCTTATTGAGTGTTTGTTAGTATCCACATATCAGAGAGAACAGTCAACCTTTGGTTTGGGGGGATTGGCTTATTTCACTTAGCACAACAGTCTCCAGTTCCATCCATTCACCAGCAGAAGTCATAAAGCCATTCTTTTTTATGGCTGATTAATATTCCATTGTGTATATATACCACATTTTCTTTATCCATTCATCTGTTGTAGGGCACCTACATTGGTTCCATGGCTTAGCTATTGTAAATTGAGCTGTTATAAACATTGATGTGGGTGCATCAATCAGTAGTAAGCTGATTTTAAGTCCTTTGGTTATACATGAAGGAGTGAGATAACTGGGTCAAATGGTGATTCCATTTCTAGTTTTTTGAGGAATCTCTATACAGCTTTCCAGAGTGGTTGCACTAATTTGCAGTCCTACCAACAATAAATGAGTGAACATTTCCCCCCCCCACACATCCTTGCCAACATTTATTGTTGCTTGTATTCTTCTTCTTCTTTTAAATATATTCGTTTTAGTTATGGGGGACACAATAACCTTTATTTTATTTTTTATGTGGTGCTGAGTGTCTCACACATGCTAGGCAAGCGCTCTACTACTGAGCCCCACCCCAGCCCTGGTGCTTGTATGCTTGATAATTGTTGTTATAACTGGAATATGATGGAATTTAATTTAATTTAATTTAATTTAATTTCTCTAATTGCTAGAGATATTGAACATTTTTCGTATATTTGTTGACCATTCATATTTCTTCTTCTGTGAAGTGCCTGTTCAGTTCCTTTGCCCATTTATTGATTGATTGTGTGTATGTGTGTGTGTGTGTGTTCTTTATATATCCTGGAGATTAATGCTCTGTCTGAGGTGCTGGTGGCAAAGATTTTCTCCCATTCTGTAGGCTGTCTCTTCAAGTTCTTGATTGTTTTCTTCTAGCCCATGTGTGTGTATATATATATATATATATATTTTTTTTTTTTTTTTTTTGAGTTAGAGTCTTGCTAAGTTGTTTAGGGCCTTGCTAAATGACTGAGGCTGGCTTTGAACTTGTAATCCTCCAGCCTCAGCCTCCTGAGCTGCTGGGATTACAGGTGTGAGCCACCATTCCTGGCTTAAAAATCAGTCAGTGCAGTGGTACATGTCTATAATCCTAGTGACTTAGGAGACCCAGGTAGGAGGATTACAAAGTTTGAGACCAGCCTTAACAACTTCGACCCTGTCTCAAAAGAAGTAAAAAGAACTGGAGATGTAGCTCAGTGACAAGAGCCCTGGGTTCAATCCCTATTACCACCCCTCCCCCATCATTTCTTTTGAATATGCTTTATATATAAGAAAATGCATCCATTTAAAGTATATATTCAGTTCAGTGAATTTTGACAAATATAACAATCCATTGCAACTACCATCATAATCAAGATAAAGAACATTTTCAAATCGCCCCCACCCCTTCTCAGCCATTCCCACTTTTGGCCATTATGATAAATGTTGTGTCTTGTAAGATTTAACATAAATGAAATCATATAGTACATGGTCCTTTGTGTTTGGCTTTTTTCCCCCACTCAGTATAATCATTTTGCAATCCAAAACAATTTTTGATACATGTGATTGCATATGTCATAGTTCATTCTTTCTTATTGCTGAGTACTATGCCATTGTTTGGTTTTACCACAGTTTGTGGATCATTCACTTATTGATGAACATTTAGATTCTGGTTTTATATTGGTTTGTTAAATTTTGAGATAATTATAAATAATTTTCTCTAGAAAGAATTTTTCTTATTTATTATTAACTTAATTGCATATAAATCTCCTCTTTATGATTTATCCTTTGTAAATATTCTGTAATTTGGGGCTGGGGATGTCGCTCAAGCGGTAGTGCGCTCGCCTGGCATGCGTGCGGCCCGGGTTCGATCCTCAGCACCATATACGAAAACAAAGATGTTGTATCCGCTGAAAACTAAAAAAAAATAAATATTAAAAAATTCTCTCTCTCTCTCTCTCACACTCTCTCTAAAAAAAAAAAAAAATCTGTAATTTGCTTAGATCTTTAGTTCTGTTCCTGCCTTTCATCTTGGAACAATTTAGTCATTTTAATTTAGGAGAAAAATCTCATTTTATGCATATAAAATTCTTTTTCATCTAAAAACATTTTTTAGCCAAGTGCGGTGACTTGTGCCTGTATTCTCAGTGAGTTAGTTTGAGGCTGAGGGAGGAGGATTGCAAGTTCAAGGTCAGACCCAGAAATTTAGCAAGACCCTGTCTCAAAATTAAAAAAAAAAAAAAGCTTGGGTATGTAGCTTAGTAGTGAAGTGCCCCGGCTTCAATTCCCAGTACCAGAAATTAACAAATAAAAAATAATAATAACATTTTAGGGATAGATTGTTGATAACCTGAACATATTCATTTTTTTTACTAAAAAGGAGAAATAAATATAGAAATTCATATTGTGCCATTCTATGCTGAAAGTATTGCACGGATATATGATCAACTTACAACAAAAACAGATTGGTAATTCTTAGGCCATTATGAATTTAGGCTACCCAGAAACCTATTTTTAGGCCCAAGATAAGGAAAGAAACATCAAATAAAATTAAATATCTTAAACTTTAGAATTCTGCTAATATTGGCCCATGCCTATAATCCCAGTGATTCAGAGGCTGAGGCAGGAGGATTCTGAGTTCAAAGCCAGCCTCAGCAAAAGTGAGGCCCTCAGCAACTCAGTGAGACCCTGTCTCTAATAAAATACAAAATAGGGCTGGGGATGGGGCTCAGTGGTCGAGTGCCCCTGAATTCAATCTTTGGTAACCCCCTCAAAAAAAGAATTCTGACAATGTTTTAAACAATTCTTTTTAAACAACACTTTATTATAAACTTCTTTAGTACTCAGTTTATGTCTAACCTTAGTGTATAACCTCATTTGTGAATTCCCAAGTTTTTGTAGAATGATTTTTCCCCCCCAGTAGTAAGGATTGAACCCAGAGCCTCACACATGCTAGGGAAGTGCTCTCCAGCTGAGCTATTTCCCCAGTCCTTCCATCTGTTCAGTCCATTGGTCTATGCATCTATCTATGTATCTATCTATCTATCTGGACAGGATCTCCATAAATTGCTTAGGGCCTCACTAAATTGTTGAGTCTGGCCTTGAACTTGTGATCCTCACACCTCAGTCTCCCATACTGCTAGGATTATAGGCCTGAACCACTGCACCTGGCTGCCGTGGTTTTTGTTTATTCTGAAGACTTTTCCTTTTCCACTCCCCAACAACAGTTTGAGCCTCAGTGTTACTGATTCTTACTCACCTTCGTTAAAGGTGCTACTTATTAAAGCACAGCACAGCTGACTTTATTCAG